CAAATGCATTGTTAGGCCATTTTGTCATTGTGTATACATCATAATGTGTCCTTACAGAAACTAAGATGGCTATAACATCATTAAACAAAACAGTCATTATACAAGTCGCTCTTCATCCTTCTGCAGAAGGGGCGCCAGTCAAAGAAAGGTTACCAGTGAAAATGATGTAGTTTCTGAGTGATTATTTTGGGAGTCTGGGCAGTTGGAAACAAACAAGCAGCTCCCTACAACAATACCTAACCTAATTCTCTCTTTCTAAAACTAAAAGACATCAAATCAGACAGATAAGATATATAAATAGAGAGATCATTTGGATGGCCACATAAGTCAAGTCCAGGAGCGATGAAGGACATGAAAACACATATGAAGCACCGAAGGCCAGGCATATAAAGTGGACACATCCCCTCTGTCCTTCTGCTGGAAGAGACACTGAGACATCTGCTTTCAGAGTGCTGAATGTTCAAGGCCAGCTTCCATGTCCTCAATTTGCCTTCAGGGGAACGGCTTCATATCTTTATGTTTGCTTCCTCACACACAGGCAAGCAGAAATAGTCTGGTAGGCTGTTGGAAGGATTACATGAGAACAAAGGAGGAAGACCTCACCTGAGGCTTCTGTTCAAACTGCCAGCCAGAGGCAGGTGATGGTAGATAATATTAGTCTAATTCTCACATTTAGGAGGCTGCTCGCTCTATGACTTTTATATTATTCCATAGAAACTAGAGGAATGCACAGAACACACTTGTGTGGTGCATTCAAAACGCTTCCTTGCCTGAAATCAGTTGACTCTGGGCCTCCTGCCACTCTTAAAACTATCAAGCAGTTGAAGGACTGTAAGGATACCCCAGTGTGTGTGCACTGAGCTTCTTCACTGGTCAAGGCATCCTACAGCTAACTGCCAGAATCTCAAGGCTCCGAAGTACTAAAGAGGAATTTGATGACATCACAGAAGCAAAGGTAAAAGGCTAGACACCATTGTCAAGAGTATCACACCACATTCCCCCAGTTCCCCTGATAGTGCTGCTGAAATTGATGATACTTGGTCCACAGGGAGACTGTCGAGTAGGAAAGAATCTGTCTGGGGTTATGTGGCTGTCAGTGAGCACCTTGTCCTTACAAAGCTCCTGGTATCCAGTCCATGAGCACTTTGATCTCCCCAAAGCCTGAAGGAGCTCATGATTTAGCTCTTAAATCTTACCAAAGGAAGATCAGAGACTACGTGAAGATGAAAGGAGGGTTTTGTTTGTGAAGACCCTATAGCAAAAAGTTAAAACCTCAAGCAGCTGCACCACCTTACTGCCTCCCGTCTGCTGATGGAGTAAGGGTCAACATACCAGCCCCTGGCTTCCTTACGGCGGGTAGCAAAGCCTTAAAGAACAAGCTCTGGAGGAGGCAAGAGGCAGAGAGCAACATACAACAAAATCTACTCCATGTTCTTGTCCCACGGCTTTTTTAGCAAGTCGGATATGTGGGGTTCAAGCCCAAGGTCTGACTGATGGTTCCTGGGAGCAGCTCACTACTTATGGTATTGGTACATCAACAATCCAGCTCCCTTTGTCTTTTGCAGGAGTCTCTGAGAGTGTACCATGTAGTCACCCAGAAGTCAGAAGAGTAAGACTTAGTTGCCCATAGTGCCCACCTGCTCGATAACAAACTCTACCTGAGTTCTCTTCCTATCTCTGACTTACTTTGTCACCATCTAAGAGTAGATTTCTGAGATCATTTCTCAAATAAATTCATGCTTTGGAGGCCTAACTTAACTCTAAAGGAAAACCCATCTCCTCTAAGCATAGGGTGCAGGATATGATCCTTTATACCCCAGCATGGAACTGAGAGAGACATTGGGCTGCTCAGCAAAAATCCATGTTCCCCAATACCTCGACACATCCTTCCTCACCTCCCTTCCACACCTGCTATCAGCAAGTCTTTGAACTCCCATGCAGCTCCTCGGGCCATCACCAGCCTAGGCTGCTGGCCAATGAGATTTATGGCAATGCAATAAGGTTTCATCAGCCAGGAAGCTTTTAATAAGCCCAAGTGGTAGAAATACACTAAAGAGTTGATTTACAGCCTCTTTCTTGGCTGCAGTTAGCAAATTATTTTTCCTGTGGAATCAGCTAGGCAAGAAGATATTTCATGGTGATTTGTGCTAGTTAGATTTGGGGTGAATTGTGCCACCTCTGTTGCCTGGTTGTCTATATGAGCTCAATGCAGTGTATCCTTGGAGAGTGGACAGGACACAAGGGGACAATCACACCCTAGGCATTCAGCATGGACTGTCGAAAGATGAGCTTACTGGGGTGTATCCCTGAGGAGTAGAGGGGACACAAGGGGACAGTCACATCCCAGGCACACAACACGGCATTTTCTGTTCTAAGGGTCAATGAATCAAACTCTTAATTTCTAGGGAAAGGGGCCCTTCTGAGAGGAGGACTTCAGAAACAAGAAGTCTGGGCTACTGTTTCTTTATCTTTGTTCCTTTGAATTACTAGACACTAAAATAAATAAAAGCCCAAGACAGAAAATACAATGGATGTAACGGAGGGTGTTGACTGTCAGAAATTCTAGCTGAAATTTCCCGTGAAAGAAAACAAACCAGACAGGGCTCCCGTAAGGGAATTCATTTGCTCCTGCCACAGTGTCTGTGGCACCTAGAAAGACCGAGAGCCTCCCTGCAATTCTGACACCTTGAAGGAGTCCCCATTGTTGGTAGGATGCCGAAGCAGGTGGTCTTTTCCAGTGGGGAGGCCCCCAGGTCTGTGGGAGAGTGGAAGAAGAGAGAATTATGTGTGAGGAGGGAACCCTAACCTGACTCAGATGCATGGCGGCTACAGACGAAAGCAAAGGGAACTTTTATTTTATGTGATATTATAGATAATAAATTAGATCACTCTCCTTTTTCTTTGGGAGTTATGTATGAAAAATTATGCTAGTTAGCCTATGGATGATAACAATGACCAACACAACAAGATAGCCCCAAAGACACAACAGTGCCACTTACATCTTAGGAGTAAACAAATGCGGGCTCATTTGACTTAAGGGCTGCTCAGAAATGAGATAATTTATGTCTGGTACTGTAAATGTAGCCAACTATGCACAGTGGTAAGGCCACAGACCCTAGAAAACCCACTACTGCCACTATCCTCAGCCTGTATAATTTCTAACCACATTTAAATATTTATTCTTATGCCCACAGATAAATGTAGCTCTCAACTCACAACTAAGAAATGTCATTTTGCAGCAAAGAACATTCTAGAAATCCATAACTGGTCAAAATTCAGAGAACACTGACAATGGGGTGTCCGACCTCAAGTGATACATCAACAATACAACTCTTTACACCAACGGCTCAGAGAACATTGTAAAAGATGGGGGAGGAAAGATTCTAAGAGTCTAAGGATCAATATGTCTACTGGAAGTGTGTGTCTTCTGTATATGGCAGGGTATTTGCACCCAGGAAATCTCAATAATATTGTGGGTAGGGGAAATGCTACAAACTTCAGCCCTAAATAAAGAAATAAAGGCAATTAATAGCTATCTAATACCAAATAGTCAGCTCTGAGCACGTAAACACGCAAGCAACACTACCTGAATTCAGCAGGTTATATTTACAAACACACACACAATAGTAAAGATAAGAGGTCCGAAATATGCTAAGGAGTGGGAGATGGACACAGGAGGAGTTGGATTGGGGAGCCGATGTGAATACAGAACTCTATATGAAATTCTCCATAAAATAATGAGAAGAATGATACTGAGATCTTTTTGGTTGTGGTCTGCATTTCTCAAATGTGGAAAAAGCAGAGACAAGGCCATGTGCTGTTTTGCTATGTTTAGCAGGGGTGAAGTTAGACTGGGCACATGGCTTACAATAATAATTATATGTGGGTAGCTGAGCTATTCTTAGGCATAGCTGAGTATTTGAGTTTCTCTCAAGTAATAGTAAGACATGGCTGACTGTCAAGAAAAAAGAAGCAGTTGAAGCTGAATCAATATTCTGCCTTTAGCAAAGGAGAGAGCAGATGGGAGAAGAGAAAGCCTCAGACTGAAAGTTGTCCTTAAGTTCTGAAAGCTACCATTCAGCCACAGGGAGAAGAAAAGACACTTCTATGATGGTGGAAAGACACAAAACATGATTCCAGTCTCAACAACAGAAATCTAGTTCTTCACCGGAAACAAACCTAAACATCAGCATCATGTATCCTACGGACAAAGTGTGTCTTCCACAGGGGATGCCTGGTTGAGGACAAAGAGAGTGAATCTCCATTGGCTGAGGACATGGAGGAGCCTGGGTAACTCAGAGACAGCAGAGCTACAAGCTCCGTGGGTCTTACATTGGGTGAAATCACAACAGCAGTGATTGTGCACAATGCTGGGCACACCACCCCTGCATCATGGAAAAGGGCAGGACTAAAAGGACCCCACCCAACTCTGAGGAGCTACAGACACTTGCTGGGGAAAGAAGCCATACTCCTCAGTGGCAGTCCCTTGTATAGTGAGTGCCCTTGTTCAAGTAAATAAGCCCACAGCTGTGTTCACACAGGCAACCCTAATTAAATTCAGTTGGCAATAAGGAAAAATCCTGGAAATAGGATGACTTGGTGGGAAGAAGGGCTGCGGTGGAAGGAGGGAGGAAATGAAGGAAATGCTGACTACGTATATTATATGTACTTCATATGCATGTAATGGAATTATGAAGAACAAATACAAGAGTGGTGGGTTTGTTGATTTGTCGCCCTTGTTTTGAATCACACCCCCATGCATTGGTCCAAAAGTTGCATTCTTTTTTTCCCATTAGAAGAACTACAAGTTTTGCACCAACTGCAGCCATGTATACAAACCCTGCATTTAATGGACCCAAGGACGCAGAGCCTGCTGCCACATCAGCTGAAACAGGACTGTCTCTACAGGAACCTACGCTGCAGACTCCCAAGGGAGCCAGCAGGAATCTGCAGTGTGAGTGTGACCCGAGAACAAGGACATTAGCTGAACAAGGACTCACGGGTGGACCAGCAACCCCAATGCCTGGGTCGCCACGGCTGCCGGGAGAGCCAGGGATCCCAGGTGTTCCTCGGTCACCCTAGGGAGATACAAAGAGCAGACGAACAGGTTAGTGCTGACAAGATCAGGAACGATGTACAGGAATAATTATGCTTCCCACGGAATCCTGACCGCTGCTTCATCAGCTCCTCACCCAGTACCATCCTTCATGCTCCATTCTGTGATACACTAAAGGTGCCAGTCCTCCCTCTTAGTCCAGAGGTTCATTACATGAACCAGAGCCCGACGACTGTGAACACATACCTCTCAAAGTGGCCCCAATTTCAACATGACTCCAACTGTGATTAGAAAACTAAATATGCTCCCCAAGTGCAGACCACCTAGCTATGGTGCTTCCCCGACATTCGTCATACCCTCATCCTAAGCAGACGTGCACCCACATTTCAACTCAGACCCCACATCATCAGAAAATAAACACAACAGTGTTTCAAAACTTTCCCAATACCTACACTTCATGAGCAGTTCTTCCGGGGGTGGGAGAAGGAGCCTCAAAGATAACTCTAGTAAGACCAAAGCGTTCAGCAGTGTGGTTAAAAAGATGGATTTGGGTACTGGAGGGTCGACTTTAAATTGTGGCTTCGGCACTAATGAACTGCTGACTTATGGCAAGTGTCCTGAGCATGTGTCCTCACCTACCAGAGTGGCACACAGGAACAGCTGAGTCAGCCTGGTAGCGTGCTGCTTAAAAGAGTTAAGCACAAAGAGAACGCACTGTGGCCCTGCCACTCAGCCCACACAAGGCAACTGCTGCTTTTGCTGCTGTTCTCGCCGTGTGACATGTGTGACATTCCGAACTTGACGGGAGAAGAAAGAAAGGAGTAAAAGACTGCTGTCTCCCACAGAAGGAAGCAGAGGTTCCAGTTTCCGGTGTTTTAATTCCGTCAGCGGCAAGACAGAGAAGCGTCTCTGACCAAGGCCGGCTCTGTGTGGGCAGCCATCCTAATTGGTGCTGACAAAGGCTTTTCCAGTCTTGGATCGCCACACTTTGCACAAATGTTCAGATTTGGGGTGCCTCGCTGCTAATGAGTCTGTTCGCCGTGCCTCCCTAACACTACAGGCAATATCAGGGATGCGATATGCCTAGGACTGTTTCTCCCAACCCAAACTTAACAAACACATCACCGTATCACATTAGGGATTGCCCTTCTAGCCCTCCAGTCTGACAATGCAGTGGCAGGTGTCCGTGCTCAGACCACATAATATCCAGGAATGAGTCAACCAGCCCAGGAAAGAGCCAAAGGAACTACAATCAGAAAGCTGACTCTAAGAAATATTAACATATATGTTTTTAAGCATCGAAAATAGATAATAAATAAGCTATATTTTTGTCCATAATGGCGGCTCCTGCTTCTCAGTGTTTCCGGAGTCTTGTGTGTCAGAGGGTAGTATTAATGTCTCTTCTAGAGCTGATATCCACGTCCACCTATTCCTAGCACATGGAGTCTCTGCACTAACAACTGCCCACAGCATTAAAAGCGTCTCTGAAAACAGCTGGCTGGGCGCCCATCCCTGGTGCAGAACCCCGCTTACACATCCATACAGGAAGCCAAAGTTGCCTCCAGTGGGTTATTTTTCTTTCCAAAAAAACCAAAACAATAACATAAAGTTGGGAGGGAGATGTACTGGGAAGCCCAAGGAGATCTGGAGAGGGGTAAGTGGGACGATGTCTATGATCAAAATAAATTGTGTACATGTATGAAATTTTCAAAGATGAATCAGTAAGAGACATTAGTCACAGATAAAGAAGAAAAGCCATGCTTCTAAGGTGATTTGCTTTCCTGCTCCCATGATGACAACAGTTAGATCTTCACTCAGCCAATACTCATTGTGTGCCGGCTGTAAGCCGAGATCTAGGCTCTAGTCCCCACTTGCAATTCAGTCAGGATGCCTGCTTACTGTCAGTATTTAATGCTAAGTCCTGAAGTGGAGTATCAGTCATGAAGATGGGAAGAGTGAAACTTACAAAGTCCTTACAAAAAAAAAAAAAAAGTAAAAACCCAAACCCAAATCCCTCACTAAGCCCCCTTAATGCCTGCTCTTTCCCTTCCTTGTCCTCCCAAGCCCAACCTGGCTAGGCCACCAGCTGTTGGTGATCCCTGAGAAACAGATCAGCTATTGCCCCATCCACAAGTATTCTACTAGATCTCTCCTAATTTCCCTTCAAATTCCAATTTAGTGCATTCCATTTCTTTATATTGATGTGATATGGCTAGGCCTTGGAAATGTAACATGCTTTGGATCTAGAAAATCTGGTTAAGAAGTATAGGAAGTGGGGCAAGGAGATAAATAAAAACAAAACAAAAAACAAAAAAAAACAAGGGCAAACCTGACCCATGGCTCATCTGCCAAGGGCTCTTTACAAGAGTGGAGATTCAGGTAGGAATATCTCAGGCACAGTTGAGTGTTGCTTGGTTTGGCCCCAGGATAATGTCAGGCCCCTACTGTAACCCTGGGAAGGCCTCATGGTGTCTCTGCACCTTAACACTTTGATCAATAAAATATTAAGATTCTGCCAAGATCCTCTGCATCTTCTGTGCAATCATCTGGAAGGGAAGTGACTACAAAGTTGAGAGACACACCAAGTACTCCAGTTAACATTTTACTGAAAGTTAGCAGAAAGGAAAAATAAGATGGACACATATAAAGTGAAACAAAACCGTTCCTTTTGAACCTTGAGTTTGCTTTGAAGTGACTGATGCAGACTTCGCTGCTGGAGCTAGCCTCTTGTCCCTTCCCAATGCCACATCCCACGTACATCAGTAACCCTGACCCCCTAATGACAAGTTACACTATAAATCTGTGTTCTTCCACACTGATGTTTCTATCGCCTTTGTAATGGTCTGGATAAGAAATGCCCTCTACTGGCTCATGCATTGGAACATTTGGTCCCCAGTTGGTGACACTGTTTGGGAAGGTTACAGAAACTTGAGGAAGTGCAGTGCTCCTGGAGGGAGTACTTCATTAGGGTGGAAATGGGGTTGAGGTTTATAGATGGTCCCCACTTCCTGTTTTCACTCCCTCCCCACTCCCCTCCCCTAACCCTCTGCTTCCTGCTTCTTGCATACAGATAAAAATCTAATCGCTTTACTTTTGGCTGGGTTTATACCCCAACCTCTGTTTCCTTGAGCTTACTGTGATGCTTCCTCTGTACGGTTAAAATGTGATCACTCCACCCTGCCAGGCTGACCTCACACTCTGGATGCAGTGCTTTCCCAATAATGGACTCGACCCACTCTGCAGCTGCATGTCAAAATAAATTCTATCTCCCGTGTCTTGCTTTTTGTAGTGTTATTCTGCCACATCAGTAGCAAAGTTACAGATACATCCCTGCTTCCTGTACATGCCATTGCCTCTGAGAGCATGCTTAAACTTGTATGACCCAAGCTCCCAAGAACACAGACCCAGTCACTGGCTTGGTCCAGTCATTCCTTTTCCACAGAGCTGTCTCAGCCTGCCCTCTTTGTCTGTCATCTGCTAGACTTTAGCTATATGCATACATCCCCATTAATCTTCACACTGTCACACGTTATCCATGGGTCCTCTCACCTCTGGCTTTCCTGTAAACAGCATGAAAGTAGACTCCTTATTCATTTGCCTATTCAATAAAATCTGCCACCACTTATCTCAAATATAGAGTAGATATCTATGTATCTATGCACCAAGTGTCTGCCATAAAGCCAGATATTGGCTTTAATGCCCTCTGCCTGGATGTGAGAACAAGCAATCTTCATCAGCTGTACTGTGTCAGACACTGAATTCTGCCTTCCCCAAAATAAGCTTCTCTCCTATACCCCAGAGGATAGACCATGCTTAGCATATTCTGACCCAATTTAGCAGCAGTGAATCCATGATTGATTTGTCTGCACAATGACCAGGTCTGGCCCCATCTGTGCCTATAGACTATTGTGATGCTAAAAATTCCCTGAAGAAACCACTTCCCAGCTTAATGAAAGGACACTTTCAGAAAATGGCCCCCGAAGGACACAAAAAGAAACCTAGCATTCTGTCACCGAGAGCCAGAGGACCAGCGGGTAAGAGGGAACAGAGCCCAAGAGCTAGTATCTGGGACCTACACTCCAGAGAGGAATATGTGAATAAGTATGCGGTTCCGCAAAAAGACGGAAGTTACAGAACAACAGCTCCGTGACATAAGATCATTTCTCTCCCCAGGAGCCTTTTTAGTGTCAAATATTCCTTACTCCTTCAAACATAAAATTAATAGTCTCAGAAAGCTAAACCCTTTGCTTTCTATCTTATAGACAGTTGAGTTGGAATTCAAAGTAAGTTCCCTATAAAGTCCAAACATGTTCACTTTGCAAGAAGCAAGCGTTCCCCACTGAGCTGCCTGTATTACCACCAACCGGGACACATTAAGATGTGCTGAAGGAAACTTCTAGATCGCTTCCTCCATTAATCCCATGAAATACGCCTTCTCCATACCTGGGACTGGGCTGAACATCTCTCTCGATCTCTCTCCTTCCCTCCTCCCTTGCATCCCCTCCTCTACGATCCCCCTGACCAATACACTTCCAAATAAAGATGTCCTTGAATTCTGACTTATGTTCTAAATGCCTTCAAAGTGGGAACCTTTATTCCTCAAACCCAGTACCTTACACATTGTACATGAACAGTGTGATGAGTGGACATTTAAGGGGAACGGTTGGTGCAGAAATAGCATGACTTAGCCCGAGCCCCCATGGTGTTGAAAATGCTCAGCTACACTGGGGCAGGAGTCTGAGCCCACCTTCTACAGTGGCTGATGCTTTCACTGGCTCCCACAAGACTTCTCCAACAGTGTGTGCATAGATCAGATACAGGCTACCTAGCTCAACAACATCCTGCTGCAGTCGGAAAGCTGAAACCACGGGATACCAATGCATTTTTTTTTTTTTGCACAGATATTGGTGGCGAGCCCTACACTAGGGAACTATTTCTTATGGATATGGTAACATAACCTCCCCCCCTCCACACACACACTCTTCCTGGAAGAAATAAAGCAATGTATTTTATGACTCTATTAAGGTCCTAAGATACAACTGCAGAATAAAAGGAATTAAGTGCCTCCTACTGTTAGATAAAGGTTACATGTGATTGTGGTGGAAAATGAGTCAAATCAAGCCATTTACTTCTCTGTCACTTCTGATACCCTGTTTTTGCTTCTAAAAGGTTCCCAGTGTCCTCTGGGGCCTGAAGGTCCTTCTTAGGATGGAAGGGTCAGAATGCTTGGTCACTGAAGGAGAATCTGGACAGGACTCACCAATGACAGACTCCCTTAGACAATGCTGGCACTCTCCCAGAAAATACGCAGATGACGTACATTTACTCCTGCCATATAGATAATTCCCCCATTTAGGGAAATGCTTGATCATAGGTAATGCAATCAAATTACCATACTGCAAGCAAATTAGTATACTACAATCGCGATTACTGAAGGTTTAGGATAGATGCAGAGAGAACCTGCTGGACTAGGAGGAAATTATAAAGCGGAGACCTATGTTTTGCTACTGTCAACATCTATGGAACCTCAACACCTCAAACTTCCTTATGCTAGAAATTAGTTTGGTGAAACTTTTCACACGTAACCTTAAATTCAATTTACTCTGTAGGTTTTTTTGTTTGTTTCTTTGTTTGATTTTTGCTAAGATCCCAAAAGTTGTAAAGTCAAAGGAAAAAATGGAAATGGTCTCCTATCAGGTGGTGGACTCTAGGGCTGGGAATAAAACTGCCAGTCACTGCAGCATATATGGAAGCTTAAAACTCCATCTGGGATTGGAGGCAGTGTGCTTCAGAAAGTACCAGCTGGTGACTTGGGGGACAACAGAATATGTTCTCCATGTTTTTAGGGTGATTTTTTTTTTCATTGAGAGAGACCCTTACTCTGTAGCCCAGGGTAGTCTGGACCCAACCTAATGACCCAGTCTAGCCTCAGACCCAAATTCTCCTAATCCTATCTCTGCCCCGTAAGTTCTTGCATTACAGGCATGCACCACCACTCGTAGCAAGAAGTTCCTTTTAAAGAAACTGTTTTTATAAATAGGCACAAGTGGTAAGAAGTGATTTTGTAATAGCATCTTTATGTAAGTTAAATATGCATATCCCGTTAAAGCCAAATATCCGAGCATCCCATCCTAACATCAGCGAGTATGACTCTGGCCCACATCCTCTCAAGTCCATGTATCTGAGTTGGTGTCATATTTCTCACTGTGTGGTGGAAAGGTTAGAGTTAAATTTTCTGCACCCCGTGCCTCAGTGTCCCCTCTGTGTTCAACCCTCTTGCCAAGGCCTACAGCAGCACTTCCTTCTTCCCAGGCCAGCTTCCACATGCAGTTTCAAAGGAGGACAAGGGCCTCACTCTCCAAGTAGCCACTCACAACCAAACCAGGTTAAGAGCCTCTCTGTGTTGCCCCTGCCCCTCCCCCCACCAGCTGCAGCACTCTGGAGAACAGACCCTACAACCCACCTGGGCAGCACAGTAGAGCCGACCCTGTTGGTAGGGGCAGGCGAGCCAGCCTCAAAGGTGTGAGCGTGGGAGAGCTCTTCCCACTTCTTGTCCGTTATGAGGCAGCATGGGTAAGGGAGAGAAGGTCCCACCCCCTTACCGGTTGCAGTGCTCAGGAAAGAGGCCCTGCTCTTGGCCTTAGCTACACAGTAGAGTTGACCCTGTTGACAGGGGTGTGGGTGAACCAGAGGGTGAGCTTGGAGGATCTGACTCCACCCCTTATCTGCCATACAGTGGTAGGGGCAAGGGAGAGACACCACCCCCATCCCTGCTCCTAGCTGCCTGTAGCAGTTGGGAGAGCTGGCGCTGAGGTCATTAGAGTGGGAGAGCTATCTATCCATGGCCCTCAACAGCTTCAGACAAAAAGGATACACAGTGTGACTCACTATGCCACATTACAACTTGCATGATGAAATTTTCTTTCTTTTTTTTTTATTCTCTTAAATTTTATTTTACTGGGGGGGAAGGGGAGGTTGCAAGAGCAGAGGGTAGATATGAAGGGATGGGGAGGTGAGTGGGATCAAGAGATGTGATGTGAAAGACACAAAGAAGAAAAAGAAGAAAAGAAGAGACTCTCTGAACTACTCAGGCCTCACACCCCCCTCCCAACACCTGCCTGCTTTTGCAGTTTACATATCCATATATTCCCCGAGCTATGCGCTCGCAGAGGCCCAGGAATGGCCTACAGTCCACCCTATAGAAGGGCTACAGTTGAAATAACAAGGCACTGGTCATCCAGGCAAGCTTGAAAAAGGAATGAAGGATCCCTGCAGAAAGCCCTTGGGGCAATCCTGCTTGCTCAGGGGGATACTGCCATGGTTGCTGATGAATTGAGGGAGTTTGGCTGGTACTCATCCATTTCCTTCTTCCTCTTTGGTGCCCAACTAGGTGACAGTCTCTGGCCTTCCTTTGTCATGAATGTCACTAGAATTTAGTGGGTGGACATAGGAACCAATTTCCAGCGCTGGCCCATAAAATTCGCCCTGCAGCTTCTCCTCTCCCTAACCCTCCCCACCGTTTATGCCACGGCTTGGGGAAAGAGAGCAGTGTTGGGAAAGTGCTGGGCTGTTTAGACCCTCCCCAGCCCCTCTCCCATGCATACACCAGACACCTAGACTCCTATTAGAATTATGTTAAAGTTTGGGGATCATCTACTACCCAAATTTCACCAGTAACAAGAGAAGACTTGGACCATGGCTTGGCCAGGTGAAAGCCAGCAGCGTTTTTAATTAGCTCATATGAAGCTCATTTAGTTAGCCTGTATGAAGCCCTGCTGTGGACGTCAAGAGTCTCAAAATGAGAAATGTGGGAGTGGTTGAGGTGACCAGAGATGCATATAATAAGAAGGCCCCCACTCTCCAAGTGCCATACGTCCATCTCCAATTAGCTGGGACAAGCACTTACCTTGGTTCCTATGGGGCCAGGTAACCCAGGTGGTCCACGAAGTCCCTGTTGAAATGAACAACAGGGACCCATGAGAGCTACAAAGGGGACTGTCACTGCAAGGTGAGGACACTCAGTCATAGGGCCTGGGTGTGATCCCTGACTCTGCTGCTTCCTGCCCCTATGTGGACAAAAACAAGCCTCTCTATCCCTTAGTGTGGTTTTTCTCTTCCCATCTCCATGCTAAGGGCTCCCAAAAGCCAGGCTCACCTGACCCCATGACCCAAGGCTTAGCCTCCTTCTTCTTTATCACACTACAGAGACCTGGGGTAGCCTACGGGAGGGGCTTCCATTTCCAGCTAATGAGCTTGGTCTAATATGGCACTCGTGAGCACACTTGAAATCCAGGTCTATTTTTGGCCAAAGGAGTCCAGCATGAACCGAGAAACCCTTCTTTGTGTGTGTGTGTGTGTGTGTGTGTGTGTGTGTGTGTGTG